CCGCCGTCAGCACCCACTGCCGGGCGATGAGCGACCCCCCGCACACGTGCACCCCGCGGTGCTGGATGCTCGCCTGCCACGGCCACTCTCCGGCTCGGGCGTCCCGGCCCCCCACGATCCGATGGGACACGCGGGGCTGCCCGCAGGCTGAAAGAGGGCGAGGGGGCGGAGAGGGTTGGCCCAGGGCGAGCGTCTGGAAGTGGGTGCGGCTGGGGGACACAGGGCCAGGGTCCAGGAGGGTGAGGACACCCTGAGGCTTTCTTACCCGCAGGCTTCCTTTCCCAGGTCCCAGCAGCTCCTGGAGGAGGAAGCAGGGAAGGAGCTGGCTTATGCATGTGGTGTCAGATAATGGGACTGGGGGGGAGGTCGGAGATTAGAAAGGAGGATGTTTGTTCCCCCTGAACTGGTGCCAGGCTTTTGTGCAATCTGTTACCTGATTTAACCTTCCCCAGAGCCCCGTGGGCATTGAGGTGGAGGGATTTGTGCCCATAACACAGACAAGCACGTTAGCATTTGGAGAGGCCAAGGTCAGTGGCAGAGAGGAAGGGACCTGATTAGAACGCTGGAGAGTGCTGACCGGGAACCAGGCCCAGAGATGGGCGAGATGGGAGACCTGGGATTCCAGGTCCCTGTGGCCAATACCCACCCCCCTGCCCCCTACTCACCCAGCACCAGCAGGAACAGGACCTGGAGACAGGAAGCCCCTCTCATTCTGTCTTCAGGGCAGGACTGGGTAAGGGCGCTGCCGAGGGCTTGGACTCCCGTCTGGAGATGCAGGGAGAAGAGAGGAGCATCCTAGCCCAGGGCACAAGTCTCTCAACCCCAGTCCCCACCTGTGGCCCTTCTCCTTGTCCTTAGCTGTCCTGGACCTATCCCTGTGGCCAAGGCCCCAGGTGACCACCTCTGGCAAGTATGCAGCCCCTTCCCCCACCTCAATGAGAGGCCAGAAGCCTCATCCTGCCTCCCCCATTTCCTCTTTTTGTTGCCCAAAGGCTGCCCCCGCCCTGCCCCCAGAGCCCCCGGCAGTTCTTACCCTCACAACCTGGTTCCCTCTCTGCTGACTGCGGTTGGGGGAGGCCCTGGGGCTTAAAGGGCCAAGAGGGCGCTGGACCCAGCCAGGGGGCAATGAATGGGGCCAAGGCGGAGCTGTGGTTTCACCTGAGCAGCCTCAAACAAAGATGCTTTTAGACAGCTTTAGAAGCAGTAGGAAAGGAGCACCTGGGTTTCTCAAATGAAACCTGGCTTGGGCCAAGGTGCTGAGAACTGGGGGGTGGAAGCCTGAGCCCCAGGAGAACAGGCAGGGCAAGGGCAGGTGAGGGGAGGGGCATGTAGTTAGGCCTGAGGATGCTTGGCAGCTTCTCTCTGAACCAGACCCTGGCTCCTCACAGAGCTAGAGCTTTAAGCTTTATTGTTCTGTCCCGAAATTCCAGCTCAGCCTGGACCAGTTTACCCCACACGGAGTCCTGACCCCAGTCCTGGGATCCCAGACTCCAAACCTGGCCAGATGGCCCCACACAGAGCCCCAGTCTGGCCCGTGCCCTACTGAATCTGAGGTCCAGAGGAGCTGGAAGTGAGGAGGGACCGGCTCAAAACTGGCAGCACTCCTTGCTGACCGGAGGCAGGGGCATACTTGACTTTGGGGTGGCCGAGATAGAGCAAGATGCTGGAGAAAGGGACCGCCCTTCTCTCAAAGCCAGTGTAGGACTGGGGTCTGAACGGTGCCCAATGCCCTCTTGGGCTCACATGCAGTGCCCACTGCCCAGAAGACTCTCGAGCCCCTCTCTGTGTAGTCAACTCATTGTCCCTCAGCCCTCTGCTCTGTCCTCTCCTCTTCAGGGACCTCCCTGCCTGGACCTGCCCTGTTATTTGACATGTGCTGGAGGAGGTTTGATTTGTGTCAAAGCAAACCCAGAGGTGGGGTCTGAGTCTGTGTCCCTGTTTGAGACACAGACTGGCTGCCATAATGAAATACCACAGACTGGGGCGGGGGTTGCTTAAACAATAGACATTTATTGCTTATGATTCTGGAGACTAGGAATTCAAGATCAAGGCAGGCTTCATTCTGAGGCCGTTTTTCTTGGCTCATTGGGTGGACTCCATCTCACTGTGTGCTCACACAGCCTCTTCTTTGTGTGCATGGGGAGAGAGAGAGAGAGAGACAGATTGCACTCTTGTCACTTTTTTTTTTTTT